AGGAACCTCTATATTGCTTTCCAAAGTGGTTGAACAAGTTTACACTCCCACCAACAATGCAGTAAGATTCCCTTATGTCCACATTCCCTCCAGCATCTGTTGTTATTAGAGTTCTTGATTTTAGCCATTCTAATTGGGTTGAGGTGGAATCTCAATGTTGTTTTGATTTGCATTTCTTTTATAGCTAGAGAAGTTGAGCATTTCTTCATGTGTCTATTGGCCATTCTTATTTCCTCTTCAGAGAAGTTTCTCTTTAAGTCTTTAGCCCACTTACTAATTGGGCAGTTGTTTCTTTGAGGATTTGTTGTTGAGGGATTTAGTTTTTTTGAGTTCTAAGTATATTTTAGATATGAGACCCTTGTCCATTGTATGGCTAGTGAAGATCTTCTCCCAATCTGTGGGCTTTCTATTGATCTTGCTAGCTATGTCCTTTGCCATACAGAAGCTCTGAAGTTTCAAGCAATCCCATTTGTCGAACCCTTCTTTGATTTGTTGTGTTTCTGAGTCTTTATTAAGAAAATTTCAGCCTGTGCCAAGGAGACCTAGAGTTTCTCCTATTCCCTGTAATGTTTTCAGGGTGTCTGCTTTGACATTGAGGTCTTTGATCCATTTGGAGTTGATTCTGGTGCAGGGTGATATATAAGGATCTAGCTTTAGTTTTCTACAAGTGATTAACCAATTTTGCCAGCACCATTTACTGAAGAGGCTGCCTTTCTTTCATTTTACTTTTTCTAGCTCCCTTATCGAAGATTTGGTGGCTATCAGTCTGTGGGCTCATTTCTGGGTCTTCAGTTCTATTCCATTGGTCCTCAGGTCTGTTCTTGTGCCAGTACCAAGTTATTTTGATTACTATGGCTTTGCAGTAGAGTTTGAAATCTGGTATTGATATTCCTCCAGCATTGTTCTTTCTGCTAAGGATTCTTTTTGCTATTTGGGTCTTTTATTGTTCCATATGAAATTTTGGATTGCTTCTTCTATTTCATTGAAGAAAGAGGTTGAAATATTGATGGGTATCACATTGAATTTGTAGATAGCCTTTGGTAGTATTGCCATTTTCATGATGTTAATCCTCCCAATCAAGAAGCATGGGAGGATTTTCTACTTCCTAACATCTTGCAGATATTATTATTTAGTTTTATGTTGTCACCATATGATTAAGGATGGTTTAATTTTGGAAATGATAATAATTTCATATTTAGACATTCGTTCCTCCTCAGCTACCCTAATTGGCTTTTGATTAACCCCTATAAGAAACTCCAACTTATGGATTAAAAGCAAATACATGGAAAAGGATAAGAAATGTTTTAGTGCAATTTTTAGTTACTCTGTTAAAACTCACGTCTTGTAAAATGAGTTGATTTGGGAATTCTGTGAATGTAAGTTATCTGCAATAAATAATAATATTGTAGCAGTTGACTACGTCTACTTCCATGTAAAATAAATCCATTTGGTTATATACATTTGAGGAATGTGATTCTTACATTTTTTACAGAAATAGGAAAAATCTTTATGGATGACAGAGAAAGTACCATCTTCTGGTAACAAAGATACACAGCTCATAATACTTGGCACTTACCTGATTTAACTTATACATTTGCCTTCCAGGGATTAGAATTCTCTGAATTTAAGTCAGTTATCCTCAGGAAAGCTGAGCCAATTTCTAGTATATCAGGAAAGAGGGTCTTTGCATTGTCAAAAGACAGAGGAGAGATGAAAAGGAATGTGCTCTATGGGCTTGTGAGCACCTACACAAATTCTACTCGTACTTAGTGGGGCAGTGGACTCACTGTCCACCAGCAGCTTTCCTCACCTAAACACATAGTGTTGGGGCAATGGTGAAAGTACAGGCACTCAGGGAGAGATGGGGAGTGGGAAGTCCTGTCTTTCTCTTACAATATTTGCTTTAGGCAGGTGGTATATTAGCTCCAGTGGCCTGAAGTGGCACATGGGGGTTGTGCACTTATCCAGTTAAGGTCAAGGAGTGGGTGGGTTACCTTTGGGAAGGGCTCAGTGTTCATTGGAGGTTGCCGAGCTCCCTGTGGAGAAAGGACAGAGACACCAAGAAGCAGGGAAGAAACAAAGCTTTTCTTCTTGTGTTTTCTTTACTCTCCTTTGAAGCAGTAGGGACAATTATATCTGGGGTCATCTTGCTTCTCCTAGTGTGGAGGAATGACAAAAAGCCTCATGGTGTACTGCAAAAGCTGGCAAGTACACTTCTGTTACTAGATTCCACGGACATGGTCCTGAGGATACTCTCTACTAATCAATGTTAGAAGCCAGCCATGGGTTGGTTATGTAGGCAGAGCCTTACTTGAGAACTTTATCTATCTTCAAACTGCAAGGTGGAGAACTTGAAGACATCTTTAAGCTCAGAGAGGTCAGAAATAAAGCAGTTTAATAAAAAGGAACAGCTTCCCACTAACTCTAGCATTTCCAAATTATGACATGATCCTTTTTACTCCAGATTGTGGAAACATATTCGTATCTTAACTGCTAAATAATAGTTGGTATTTGTCCTATTGTCTTTTTTACATTTAAACCTCATTGAAAAATAATTTATCATTTTTTCATTGCTATATTCTGTCCCTGTCCTTGCTTCTTTGTTGCTTCTCCTCTTTGGATCTTGGTGTCCTTATATCCTTTTCTCTTGGCCTTTGGAAAGAATGCTGACAAACATGTAACACTCATTAAGAAACCAAATGGAGGCTGGTCAGGATTCAAGTGTTTTCTCTGCTTGTGGTGTCTATATTTTTACAGGGGTGAAGACATCTTAAGCCAGAGGAATGACTCCCTAGTTGTGGAATTTCAGTCATCAGCCAGCAGATGCAGGAGGTATTATACAGGGCATGGGGGGCTCCTCAGAAGCCCAACAATCGTCTGCTTTTCCATAAGGCCGTTCATGTATCATACCAGTCTTGTGTGCTTCGTGGCTTGACTCATCCAAAGATGGCCAGCATGTGTGTGGATGTCTGTGTGTGATGGTTGTTGTTCATGCTGGAGAGGAAGAAAGTTCTCATGCATGCAGTACAAGCTTACGATTGTTTTGATTGCAAATGCCGACATTGGTCTAAAAGTGAGTTGTTCATAATGAAATCATCATTTCCCTATTGATTAAAACCTTTGTACCTGTCCATAGCATGAGTCATTTGTCTTTAGAATTGTCTCCATTTGGAATCCATGGATGTTCATAAGAGATAGAGATTCATGGGAATAATGTTCACCAGAAGGACAGGAAAGCCCTGGTTCTGTAGATGAGATTGTCATTTCCATCTGCCCCTTATCTTTGCTCTTCACTGTCACCATAGAAGTGACTGAAAGTGACTGTGACTTGAGCTATAAGCCTCTCAGTTTACAGAAGAGTCTAGAGGCTGCAGTTTCCTTTGTATGAAGGACACTGGTTGGTTTCCCAAACCTAATAACGTTGGGTAATGTACTAAGAATGAATTAAAATGCTAATAGACTCCTTGTTCTGGATATTTTAACATTCCCTAATTTTAAATTTAAATTAAATGCCTTAGGGCCTGGAACAGCTTTGCCAGAAGCATGCTTAGTGTCACCAGGTAGACAGTAGATTTAAAATATGTTCTGGCCACACAGGCAATGCTAGGATAAGCAATATTTATTTTATGACTGTATTTTTGTATTCTCCACAGCTATATCACACAAATATTATCTTTTTTTAACTATAGGTAGCTATTGGCTTTAAAAATATCATTATTTTCATAAAATTCCTTTGAACCCACAGTTTCTTTTATTATTAATTATATTTTAAGTAGTTGCATTGGGTTTCAAGCCCCTACAATTGTTCCAAAGTTCTTTTATAAATGACTTTCATGTTTAGACTTTATAGCCATCCTATAAGGCATCCCTGCTTTATAATGAAGACAGAGGCTATAGAGGTTGAGTTTTCTGTCATCTGGTCTCTGGTTAGGGGACAGCTTCAATTAATAGGGAAGTGTCCTGACTCCTGGCTCAGCCATCTGCCCATTAGTCCAAGTGGGAGCTCTAAGGAAAATGGTGACAAGGTCATTTATATTAAATGCTTCTGCCCAGAAATGAGGACAGTGCCGATTTTGAAGGACATATGATCAAATTTCTTTATCCAGTGAGCCAAATATGAAACAACATAAAAAGTGTTACCTTCTGTCAGTAAGCATATCACTTCCTTGTCTCATTTGTTGAATTAGTCCTGTATTTTTCTCCCTATTAGGGGGGCAGGCAGATTTTATTTCTTCCTTAGTTATTCCAGTTGTCTGGTATCTGGCCACTTCATAATTGTATTTTAGAAGAATAGATATTAATTTTCTTCAACCAAAAGGCTGAGTTCCTTGATGCCACGGCATAATTCAATTTCCATTCTCTCCCTTTTGTCGCCTGCTCCTCTTCCTCCTGGCACATTTTTCATAGTTAGGAGGATGAGTGAGTCAAATATATCAGAAGGAGGAATTGATTCAGGAATCATTTAACGACTTGACTGATTAACAGTGATCAGAAGATGGCTTAAAACTGCAAAAATCATTGCAGCATGAAGTTTCAACAGCTCTTTAGGGAGCTAGTTAATGAAAGAATCACTGTAGAATGGAGCCATACTCCCCAAGCCCACCCCCCAAAAAAATCCCAAACAGGAATATTCCCATACATTATTCAGAGACGATATCATAGAGGAAATATGCTCATAATTCCTATTACACCTGCTGCAATTACCGTTGGCCTTTTGATCACTCAGTCTTTTCCAGTCAGAGGTACTTAGGTAGTTGCTCTTTCACATATCAGAGGAATTTCATTTTGGTTAGAACTTGTCCTAAGGATTTCCCTCCTGAAGATTGTAATTATATCAGATCCTAAGCTCATGTGGTATGATTAGACTGGCTTTAATCTTATCCATGTTCTGTTCTCATTGCCATTTGTTCATGAACTAGAGTTCTGCAGTCAACTACATGATACCTTGGTCATTACTCTTTAATTTTTTGGTTTGTTCTCTTTTCTTTCTCCTGATACAGTGTCTATGAACCAGATAGGAATGCATTACGGAGGAAAGAACGAGAGAGAAGAAACCAAGAAACGCAACAGGATGGTGGCACGTTTAATTCCAGTTACTCTCTCTTCAGTGAGCCCTACAAGGTAGTGTATACGAAGTTGTTCATCTTTGCCCCTACCATAAATTCTCTGTGGATGGCTGTCTTGACTGGAGAAGTTGACTGAGAAAACCCCAGTTAGTTCTCTCTGCCTATACAAACTAGGGAAAAGAAAGCTTGGCTACCAAGTGTAGTGTAATCCCCTCCTTCTCCACTCTTGGTTTTGAATTCATACATCTGTTGGCTCCTTCAATAAAATGTGAATTTATTTAATATTGAGAACCACTTGCTGTGGTTTTTATCAATCATACAGACTTTAATTGTTGTGATTTTTATTGATGATATACATTGTACCTTTGCATTGGTAATTCAAAGTCTGTGCCATTTGTTATGTTTTCTAAGATCTTAGGAAACAAACACTATTCAAAACAGAGGATGGGTTACATATTTGACATTTACAAGAATCAGGGCTAATGAAAAGAAATATTCAAATTCTCATTTTTACCAAAGGTCAAATATATAACCTCTCTTCTAAAATGATTCATGGAGCTATGGATTGTTCATATTGGTAGATTCTTGCCCATTTAGCTCCATGTATCTTTTTTTTTGTGTGTGAAAATACCATATAGAGTGGTTACAATTACATGGGCAAGGTAATGAGTACGTTTCTTATCAAGCATTTTGCCTCCTCCTTTGTTTCCCCTTCCCATCCCTTCCCATCTCCCCACCCTACTACCCCCTCCCCCCCTCCCCAAAATTGTAAAGTTTGTTTTTCGACCTAACGTCTTGTACATCTCATTGTTGCAATGGGTCCACCTGTATCCCTATTTAAGCAATTTGTTTTTTCCCTTCCCCTCCACAAATTATACCAACATCAAATACAGTGAAAACAGGGGTTATACTGTGGGGGAGGGACAAACAAAGCAGTCTTTGAAGTCATGTTTTCCTGATATTTCTTGCCTGTCATTCTGGTAGCAGTAATTACTTATTTAGAAATTGGAGGAAGACCAATTCTGAGCCAAATCTGAATTTGCAAAGTAAATTTCCAGTGGGAATATGGAAAACAAAAGATAATCCAATCCTGGAAAGATGTACTATAGAACAAAGTTGAAGTAGTTAATGTTTTGATATCTGGGTAATCTATAAACTACAACACAAAGGACAGCTTCAACAATGCCGAAGGCTGTTCCTTACAAGTTTCCAGGTCTGTAGCCATGCTGAGTGCTGATGGGATATCATCAGACACCGTAAGGATTGTGATTTCATCTCTCAGCTCTCCTTTTGAGTGAGTCAGCCTGGGTTCTGTGATTGTCAAGGCACCTGTCCATTACTTTCTGTTTTTGTTGTTTCTAACAATAGCATGGATATGTTTTTCTTTCTCCAGACTAACAAGGGGGATGAGCTCTCGAACCGGATTCAGAATACTTTAGGCAATTATGATGAAATGAAAGACTTTTTAACGGATAGATCCAATCAGAGTCATCTTGTTGGTGTCCCCAAACCTGGGGTGACTCAGACTCCTGCGAACAAGATTGATGAACATTTTGTGGCAGACTCAAGAGCCCAAAGCCAGCCCTCATCTGTGTGTAGTACCACATCTTCCACACCAGCAGCTGTCCCTGTGCAGCAAAGTAAGAGAGGAACCATGAGCTGGCAAAAGGCTGGGCACCCATCCTCTGATGGCCAACAGAGAGCAGGTAGGCAGAGCACAGGTTGCTGGCTTTGAACAGATATACTACCTTCCAGAACAATGATAACAAACCTAACCATTGTATGTTAAGTCCCTCACTCTTCTTTTTCTCTTCTCCCCATACAGCACCACAAGGCTCTCTTAGAACCTTGCTTGGAGATGGTGTTGGCAGACAGCAATCACGGGCCAAACAAGTGTGTAATGTGGAGATGGGGCTTCAGACCCAGGAAAGGCCACCTGCGATGGCAGCTAAGCACAACAGCAGTGGACATTGTGTTCAGAACTTTCCTCCGTCATTGGCTTCAAAACCTAGTCTGGTCCAGCAAAAACCAACTGCATATGTACGACCAATGGATGGTCAAGACCAGGCTCCTGATGAGTCTCCTAAGCTGAAGTCCTCTACAGAATCTGGTGTGCACTGTACATCCTACAGGGGGGGCCCAGTCACTAAGTCAGAGTCAGCTAGAGCTAAGACCAAGCTTTCCAAATTCAACATCCCCAAACAAGGAGAGGTAAGTCTTTTCTCACTGTCATTTTTGTGCAACTAAGAAATGATCCAACTGCTTCACTTTGAAAATTGCATTTCCACATATTTTTGTTTCAGTGATGTGACTGACTTTATGTGGTAAAACTTCATGTGTAAAACGTGGTAAACTTCCTCAAATGGGAAGATAAATATGAATTGTGTTTCTTAAATCTCAAGTTTATTATAATTGGAATGTGTACACATGTGTACATTTGTGAAGGCATGCATGTATGTATGACTTAGGGAAGGGATGCTTCCTTCAAAATAGTTCAAGGATTTTTTGTGAATAAGATAGTGATATCTGATATTGTATACCAGAAATAAAAGCACTTCAAAGTAATTTAGCACTCCAAGGGGTAAAATTTTACCTAGATGAGTTCTACATAAAACTCAACCTTTTTATGAGTTTTTAAAATTTCAAGGTAAATTTTATAAAGGAAATTTCATCGTAACTCTTAAAGTACTTACTTAAGTTACTTAATATTGAAAATGGTGCATATATTCAAATATATCAGATTCTCATCCATATTATAATATTTATCATCTATATTTATTGATATTAATCAGAATTTTTACCTGCATCCTCCTTGTCAGATGAAATGGTCTTAAGTTAATTGATATCTGAGCATGGTGATGATTCATATTCTTTATAGCATGGTTCATATTTTTTGGTTTGCATTTTGATTTTAATATATTCACTGGTTGTGTTATAAAATGTGTGGAGTGGATGTACTGAATATGAGAATTCTGAGTAAGCACATTGCTTATTCAGAAATGGCTAGATACTTGAACAGTAAATCTGGATGAAACATTTTGTAAAGAAGCACAGCTCATACCATATTCCAAATTGGTGAAATTAGATATATAAGCTAAAATAGTTTTCAAACATTGTACTTAGACACTGTTAAGTGTTTACTTTTTATATATTCTCTCTTTTTTTTTTCCTTTTGGCAATATTGAGCTCAGGACTATGTACTTAGTAGGCAGGTGCTCTACAGCTTGAGTCGACACCTCTAGCCCTTCTTGCTATGTTTGGATGTTTGATTGGTTGGTTGTTGTTGTTGATAGGTTCTTGCTTGACATAGGAGCAGGCCCAGTGTTGCTTGGACCATAATTCTCCTCTTTTGCTTCCCATCATAAATAGGAGGACAAGTATGTGCTATTACACTCACTGTTGGTGGAGATGGAATGTAATCAGCTTTTGCCTTGGGTTGATGGGTATATGCTACTGCACCCAGCCTTTAGTTGAGATAGAGAGTGTCCTAAACTTTTTGCTCAGGCTGGTCTCTAACCACATTCCTTGTACATTAAACTTTTTCTCCAAAGTAGCCAAGATTACAGGTGTGAGTCAATTTGCACAGTGCAAATAAATTCTTCTTTGCAAATGCAATATCAGTGTGGCTAGAATATTCCTTGCATCTTAATTTTAATTATTTAATTTTGTTTATTTCTTTCTTTACTTATTTATTTTGGTATTAATCCTGGGGCTTGAAATCAGGACAGACTTTTCTGCCTAGGCTGCCTTCAAACTGTGATTCTCAGATCTCAGCCTCCTAAGCAGCTAGGTATGAGCCACCAATGGCTCATACTGGCTCTTAATTTGATTTAATAACAAATGAAAAGAATGATTTGACATTCTTTGTTTCCTTTCTGAAAAAGCTGAGCTTAGGCATTTCTGTTGTAGCATCTCAGAACTCCCCAGGGACCATGTTGCACTTAGAGATGATATGTACTCCATGAGATGTTTACACAGATTTTAATGAGGAAATTCAATGACATGTGTACCAGTAGATTATTTCATTACACATTTATGAGAGATTCTAAAATATGCTCATTAGGAATTAATGGAAACACAATATAATCTCTGTAGGCATTTATTTTTAAAAAATCAGAGGGAAACATGCCTAGATACCATATATATATATATATATATATATATATATATACACACACACACACACACACACACACACATGCACACACACACATACTTATAAAACTGAACTTGTCAGGCTCTTTGATTTTACCATTCTCATCAATGACATTCACTGGTAAGAATGCGGAGTTAATCATTGGACAGTGGTGATCAACTTAAACTCTCAGATATCTGTCTACTTACAACTTTCATTCTAACTGATCCAGTTAAAATTATTTTTAATTTTAAAATAATTTTAAAAATTATTTTTAATCCACCAAGACAACTTCAAATTTATTAGGTAACTATTCATTTTGGAATCCAGTGAAGTTGATAAAAACTCCAATGATTTTTTTTTTTTTTTGGTAATGGTATTGAGGATTAAATTCAGGGCTTTACACATGCTAGGTAAGTGGTAGAGCAGTTGAGCCATACCCTCAGTTTTTGTTTTTGTTTTTTGTTATTTTGTCTCTGAGGTAGCCTCACCAACTTTTTGCCTAGGCTGGCTGTAGACTGCAATTTTCTGTCTCCCAGAAATTTGTAGTCATGTGCCACTATTCCTGGCCTGCAAAGATGAACATTTTTATATCCAGTATAGCGTAATGCAGATATTTGCACAGTTTTCATGAGGCAGTCGAATATGTTATCAATAACTAAGATATTGTTAGGATTCCCTTAAAGGACACCAGATTGGGAATGACACCTTTGTGCCAGTATTTAGTCATCACAGAATATAAGAGATAGAGAGGAACAGTGACAGAAACTATACACAGCAAGGATTCCATTTTCCTACATGCAGTGGCATTAACCAGCCAGCCTGCTGCTCTCCTCACATTCCATCCTGAATATGTCAGAGAGGCCAATTGTGCATGAATAGAAGAGAGGTAACCCTGACAAGAAGTGTTGTTTATAGAGTGAAATTAGAGGGGACATGCAGTTCTTATTTTAGCAAAATTCCTTGCACATTAGGAAAAATACTATAATTAGAATGTTGAAATACTTATTAGGATAATATGCCCAGTATTGTAGAAATAAAAGTCTGATTTATGCTTAGGCCCCAAATATTATCCCTGTCAGTTTTAGTCCCTTCCCCCTCCCCACAAAAAAAACCTCCAAGTTTTTTTTTTTGTTATTGTTATTTTCCATTTTTGTCTTTCTGTATTCCAAGAGAAGCTCATCAATATCGTTTTGTAGGCATATAATTCCATATTTTAGAGCATTCATATAAAATCTGAATTCATAACATAGAAATTGGAGAATTTTAGGAATAGATTTTTCTTTGAAAAGACGCTTTTATTTGGGGGAAGAGGTAAAATAACTGAATGTGGCAAACAATTTCAGAAACGTGTGCATGGTGTGTGTGTGTGTGTGTGTGTGTGTGTGTGTATTTAATATAGACATCACCAGTATGAAAATATCTTTCCAGTGCAGTAGGAAAAGTTTTTTTCCTAGGAAATTTATAGAGAAAAGGAGCTGGAAGAAAATTATGTTATGTGCTACATTTTCTAGGATGTAAGTTGCAGTGCAAGACTTATGGTGTGGAGAATTTAGAGGCTAAAAGGAAGCATTAGGCAACCATGACATAAAAACAAGGGGGAGGGGCTTTCAAAAGTGGCTGCTTGTCATTGGGTAGTACATTTCTCTCAAAAGGACTATATGCACTGTGATGTGAGACATTAAACAACGAATTTGTGATTTCTGCCTTTAGGATATCTATCTGCAGGAATAGAATAAATTAGATTCTAGCACTTAGCTTTTAGTTTGCAATTTCTCTCACTCATAGACCAAACTAAATTTAAAACTGGCCTCCTAGACCTCGGAAAATTCTTTCACTTTCATCATTCTTGTAGTAGAAAAAAATGTATGGTATTTTTAAAAACAGCAAATTTGGAATCTCTTCTGCCTGATTTTGTACTTCATAAACCCCTCATTTTATCCCTTGCAACATCTGTGCTCTGTTTCTGTGGCAAATTATTTGTTATAATTCTTCAGTCTTCCGTAATAGGTAATTAGTGTAGAAAAATCCAGTGCAATTTGATGTGGAAGTTAAAGGCCTCATGAGAATTCCTTCACTGATACACCTGCCTCTTGGCTAGGTTTTTTTCCCAGCTCAGTTTTGTGTTTAATGAAAAACATATTTTCGTTGTTATAGCTGAGTCTCTTGTTCTTGACGCCACCCCTCATTAAGTGAGCCTACCCTGGAGTGCCACTTGGAAAGATGTCTGCTGTTAGGCAAGAGACAAGGGACTTAATGAATGGCTGCAACATGTGTTCTAGAACATTCTAGGACAGGGCACAATATATTTTATTCCAACAGAAGTGAAATTATTTTCTTTCCCTCCCTCCCTTCTCCCTCCACCCCTCCTTGCACACATTTGGCTTTTAACTTCTAATTCCAGATCTAGACCTTGGAGACTGCTAGCCTGGAGGGTTAGATACAGGTTTTACATTGCATTTTAATAAAACATATATCTGTTAACACATCATTAGGTTCCTTCTGGAGCATTGAGGTCCCTGAAACTTAAGTATGGTTAACTTCCAGATCTGCCTTTGGCTCACAGCATAAGGGATTATTGTCAGACTAATAGGTTTGGGTTTGGAAAGGTGTGTCATATTAGCCTCAAAGTTTTAGAATTGAAAAATATATAATTACCTATCAGGAAAAAGAGGTGACAACAAAAGAAAAGGAAAAAAAACCTGTAATTTGTAGAACCTTTGATTCTTGTAGCTGTGTGATCAGTTTGTTTGGCACTAATTTTAGCACTAGTTTTCCAAAACTTCAGTATTTTAATTGTTGCTTTCTGTTAATACCATAAATAGAATTGATTTGAATCTGCTATAAAGCAAAGGATTCTGATGTCTGGGAGTGGAACACATTTGAAATGCAGGGCAAAGAAAGCCTTGCTAACCAGAGCTTAGTTGATCAGAAAAGAAATCCCTAAATGTGAGTATCAGTGAATAGAGGTTATATTAGAAGTTTTAGTAATGGTTGATAATTCATCTACAATAGCAAAGTAACTATTTTTGGTTGATCAAAACTTTACTTGTCAAAACATGCTAATTAAATTCTT